CGCTTCACATACTTCAATAATCTCAGCTGGAGATCCCAATCCTAACCTCACCAGCATTGACTCATTCACTGGCTATGTGAGTTTGGTCATGATGCATTGCAGCGCGCTCAGCTTGAGGAAGTTGTTTATGGCAGCGCTCTCAGATCAAGGGGTTTCACAACTCGTATTTCCATTATTCTCCCGTACTGGCTGATCGGAGCGCTTTACTACTCTACATGTGCATGCCATGCGAACTTGCTTGTGATACATGGCAGAGCGCTCAGCTTAATGTTTTTTACGATTAACATTCCGACTACTATCCCATCATGGCCGGCTGAAACCTGTCACATACATCTCGTATTTCCTCCATCCTCCAACACTAGCTTGTTATAAATATACCAGACTGCTGATTTAACCATAGGTATCCGTTCTGACAGCCTTTGCTGCAGGTGGCTTGGCTGCCTATACAGATCCATTAAATTGACTGCGAATCTGCAGGAAAATTTTGCCGTCCTGGTCCCTTGATTTTCTTTCAGCGACATCTTGACGAAAAGCGCGTCAAATCTAGAGACAAATTCTAAAATCCCGGGCTCCTGTTTTCTCTAAATACGTCCTTTAGAAATTGTGCTTAAAGTTGAACAAGGAGTCCACAACTGCTGAACCCTAATCTTTGTCCATATGATGAATTGTAAGCAAAAGTTTCTGATACTGGACGAAACCTTAAAACCTGGGCTCCTTGTCTCTGTATAACATCCTTATTATGCTGCGACTCTAGAGGGCAATTCATTGATCCTGGTTTCCTTTTTTGTATGTAAGGCTCTACAAAAAGAGCATCAAATTTAAAGATTAACGCAAAGAGTCCTAGGCTCCTTTGCTTCGAATGCACATCAAATTCAAGCATAGATTTTAAAGTCCCAGGCTCCTTATTTTCATATATCGTCCTTTAATGTCAACTAATCGTGCTTAGCATTCAGCAAAGAGTTCACAAATGTTGAACTTTAATTTGTGTACATGTACTTTTTCCAAGGATTCTTCAAAATTAGAGCGGAACTCTCAGTGTCTGGGCTTGTGAATTGATTCATTGAGGCTTTGATTAAGCGGTTTTCGAATTGAAAGGAAAAGTCTCCCATACTGGACGAATTGAAAGGAAAAGTCTCTAATACTGGACGTATGCGTAGAACCTGGGCTAGCGGCTAGCGAGGCCTGCATTAAATAGGTTTTGAATTGAAAGGACAAGTCTCTGATCCTGGACGAAATCTTCGAGTCTGGGCTCCTTGTCTCTATTTACAGCCTTTAGTATATTGGCTGTGAATCTGGAGGATAATTCATCGATCCTGGTTTCATTTCTTGTATACAAAGCTCTACCAATGGAGCATGGAATTTGAAGATCAACGCTAAAAACTCTTAGGTTCCTTTGCTTTGAATGCACATCAAATTTAAGCATATATTCTTAAGTCCCAGGCTCCTTATTTCCATATATCGTCCTTTAATGTCAACTAATAGTTCTTGGAATTTAACAAAAAGTTCGCAAATGCTGAACTCTAATTTGTGTACATGTAATTGTTCCCAAAACGCTTCAGAATTAATCCGGACTTCTCAGTGTTTGGACTTGTGAATCGATTTATTGAGGTTTTATTGAAGTGATTTCGAATTGAAAGGAAATTATATTGGCTGTGAATCGAAGGGGTAATTAATTGATCCTGGACTCATTTTCCCTATATAAAACTTTCTCATGTGAGCGTCAAATTTGAAGATAAGAGGAAAAATCCTGGGCTCCTTGTTTTCCTCTGTTTATGTGCGTTATTAAGTTCGCTTGAAATTTAATCTCCTATGAGGAGAGAGCTGAAGTGCCAGCTGATTCAATGGAGCTTATATGCGATCAGAAGAAACACCTGTAAAGACACCAAGGAACTGGAGCTTTCACTTCTCGAATGTCAATTGTATCTCGTTTGTATCTTTATTGCAAGGAAGGGAGAGTTCTATCTTGGCTCGACCAGCCGCCTCATTAGAGGATTCTAGATCCTTGTGGCTTTTATATAGCGATTGTATTCCCCTTTTTTCTCGAATAAAAAACCTCCGACTTTTTGGAATAAAAGGCCTTCATGGCTGACCTCGAAAAATAAAGAACATTTTCGCCCTAGCATACTTGCTACGGGTCGGACAGATTTCTATAGACAGGTTTTGGAGCTTTGCACAGGTTAATGTGTAGAGTAATGGGCCTTAAGCTTGTCGGGGGTGATGGGT